GAATGTTCAAATGTCCTGCCTCTTCTCCACCTCATCAACTTTTCCTGATAATGATGGTGTGGTTATGAAAATAGGGTCACAATATGAGAAAGGGGGCACACAACTAGTGCTTAGGAACAAAGAAGTGTACTCACTTGCTTTCTGGGAGAGATTCAAAAGCAAGGATGTTAAAGCTTGGGAAATAGCTTGCTGAATAGTCATGGTTTTAATTTCCTTTCCTGGGTACAGTGCATGTGGGGCCAGAATTAGAACATACTGTCACTAATGAGTGATCTATTTGAAGGTGATATAACTAACTGTCAGCCCAGTGGTACATGATCATGATATGATCTTTCCATTCTGTTCTATCTATGAGTAATAATCCTATTTGTTACAACAGTTTTTCTTTATGCTATCTTTAGCAGTCTTAAAGGTTATACACTTACTTGCTATTAATATTTAACACATCTTGTCAAGTTTGCCTATTTCCCAAACTACTTGCTTATTTATTATATATACTTATAATATCCTGTGAGTTTTGCCTAATTCTTATAAGCTACGCATTTACTATCTATGAATTTCATCCATCCTGTTTGTTTTTCTTATCTTTCTATAAGAATTTAATATTTTTTAAATACATATTACAGAAAACACATATTACACATGATATATAGCAACAAAATTTATAGAATTAAATGATATATGAATACTTGAATGATGACTGAATTCTTATTATGGATCTTATTCTATTTTAGATATACAGTTCACAGACACTCAACTAGTATACGTCTATTGCACTAATATTTTTGTCCAATATTTGGACAAAATTTTCAATAATCTAGAGTAATAGAGGAAAGCTGTAATCCAGTTGTTTTCTGGGGTGAAGGATAATTCAAATGAATAAGAAAAGAAGACAATGACCCCAAAACATCCAATCAAACACACTAACATTAACAAAACCCAGCACCATCCCTGGTGGGCTGTCCCTGTCAACTCCTTTCTATTGTATTTGCCTAGACTTTTTGGACAGCTTTAAGCCAATTTCAATGTCCTTATTCATTCACCACATTAGATACAACCAAGGCTATTTTAGGATTGTTGCCTCTAAGGCTCTAAATACTTTTTTTAGATTTTACTCAAAATTTAGACAGGACAGCTTAGGTTACCAGTTATTACCTAACACAATGACTAAAACATAGCAGATGCTCAATGTACAATGCACAATCTGCTTTACGTACAATGGAATCAGTTCTTCCTGTTAATGACTGCCAATGAAAAATCTGAGAAATTCTTCTTCTAAAAGAATATTTTTCAAACTGTGTGGTTATCCTAGTCATAAATTACAATTTGGCAGTTATGTAGTTGGCTCATCAATCAGATGGAAAGGAAAAGTACTCTCAAAATATTAGAAGAACTGAAAAGCTAAACAAGATGTTCAACTGAGGGCTAGATTGAAATACTAGTAAATATTTTTAAGTGGATGAGAGCCACAAACCTGGTTGTACTGTCCATGAATGGGTAAATGTAGTTTTGTTAAAGTAAAGAAAACTCAGAAAAAATGGGGAAGAGGGGGGATGACCTTCAACCTTAGTGGTTTCCAAACTTTCCTTTGAAGGTACTATAATTTTTTTTAACATTCATTATCTCATTAATCCTTACAACTTCCATCTGAGGTAAGCTTTTAACCCCACATTTAAATATGAAAGGCCCCAAAAAGTTGACTAAATTGATCAGCCAGTAAAGTGACAAAGATTGAACTTAAACCCAGTTCTAATGGACTATATGATCCTAAGATCAAGCCCATACTCTCGTTCTGTTGCCTCTCTGATTGCTGAATAAGCAAATGAAATCTATAAATGCATCAGGTTGATATCATTCCCTGCTGAAGCATTTCTAGAATCTATTTTTTATTTTTAATTGTGCTAAAACAGACATAACACAAAATTTACCTTTTTAATCATTTTTAATTATATGAGTACAATGGCATTAAGCACAATCACATTGTTTACAACCATCACTACTATCCATTTCTAGAACTCTTTTCATCTTGTAAAACTGAAACTCTACCCATTAGGCAGTAATTCTGCATTTCCCCTTCCTGCCACCCCCTGGCAACCACCCTTCTACTTTCCAGCTCTATGAATTTGACTACTCTAAGTACTTCATGACTAGCTTATTTCACTTAGCATTAATGCCTTCAAGATTCTTACAGGTCTGTAGTATGTCAGAATTTTTTTCCTTTCTAAGGCTGAATAATATTCCATTGTGTCTATATACTTTATACATACATATATGGGTATATGTACACACAAACACACACACACACACACACAGACACATATTTTGTTTATTCATTCATCCACTGAAGAACACTTTGGGCTATTGTGAATAATGCTGCTTTTAATTCTTTTGAGTATGTAACCTGTCTTAGTCTGCTTAGGCTGCCATACAAAATATCATAAACTGGATCACTTAAAGCAATAGAAAATTTATTTCTAACAGTTCTGGAGGTTGAGAAATCCAAGATCAAGGTGTAGTTGGTTCAGACCCTAGTGAGAACACTCTATCCTCATGTGGTATAGAGGAAGGGAGGAAAAGGGGGAGAGGGAGAGACACAAAGAGAGAGCAAGCTTTGTGGTGTCTCTTCTTATAAGGGGATCCCTCATTCTCATTTAGCCATAATAACCTCTCAAAGGCCTCATCTCCAAATACGATCATATTGGGTGTTAGGGCTTCAATATGTGGACACAAACATTCAGTCCATAACATACTCAGAAGTGAAATCGCTGGATCAGATAGTATTTCTATTTGTAATTGTCTGAGAAATAGCCACACTGTTTCCATAGTGGCTACACAATTTTACATTCCCACAAACAGTATAAAGGTTCCCAATTTCTCTACATCCTTGCCAACACTTGGTATTTTATGTTTATGTGATAGAAACCACCCTAATGGATATGTGGTGGGCAGTAAAACTTTTAAAAGCTAATATACAAAACAGGAAAAAAAAGAGAACTGCTTGCCTTTAAAGCAAAAAAATCTAGAACAAATCTAACATTGCCCTCGCCTCCTTATGACAGTCTCTGAAAGGTTTCACAAAAAGTTTGAAAAAAAAAATCTTAGGAAATAGACTGATAAGCCAGTCTTATAGTGGGGAGTGGAGTTCAAGTTGGGTAGAGAAACACTGCTATTCAGGGTATCTCTGTTTTCCTAGTTCAAATGTAAAACTTCCTAAAATCTAGGACATGAGATAAAAATCCTACTGAGAAAATGGGAATTATTGTGAGTCAACTAGGAATAGAACATCACACTGGAGGTGTACTTAGGAAGATACACAGTTTTGCCTTCAAGTTTCCAGAAACTGAAGAAATCACATATATATCTGAGTACAGATATATTTTTATTCTGGTTCTTATAAATTTGTTTGTTTGTATTCTAGGGATAGAGAGGGTTGCTCCTACAACATTATATTATACTTAATAGTTTATAATTCTCTCTCCCCATCCCTACACCCCCATCGCCAGATACATTTTCACTACAATAAACGCTTCAACGGTGTGGGCCAAGTAGATTATTAGCTTTTGTATCACCAACATCTAACAGACTACCTGGAACACAGTAGAAATTTAATAAATGACAAGAAATAAAGGGAGAAAAGGGAAAAACAAAAAAGAACATTTCTTGTACATATTGGCTGAGCTGATCCGAACTGAATTGCTCTTCCTATGATATCAAAGAAAGACTGCTAGTCTGGCAATTAGGTCAACTACAAAAATATCACTAATAAGATAAAAATACTGGATGAGCCACTCAAAACTTTGAATTCCATATATTTCCTTGCTAAAGATAGGACTAAATAAAGCATTACTAGAGTACATTGTTACAATGCACATGGAGTATTATAAAAATTGTAAAATAATAACTGTTGGACAATGATTATTTTATTAATGAGAACAATATCAGCCAGAAATCCAATAAGGTCATGATATTAATTATGTAAGCAATAAACTTTGGAAAGGTAGAGATTGATGAAAATGCTCAAGAAAGGAGAGAATTTATTAGTGGACAGCTAATACTCTCCCAGATCTAGAAAGAGAAACAACTGAAGAGGTATTAGAATGTGTTTTTGATAGACTAAGGCTTTAAAAAAGGTATCAGTTATGGACAGAATTGAGTCCCCATCCTGCAATTCATATGTTGAAGCCCCAAACCAGTGACTTCTTTGGAGATAGGGCCTTTCAGGAAATAATTAAGTTAAATGAGGTCCCAGGGGTAGGGCCCTTATCCAATAGGACTGGTGTCTACATTAGAGGAAGAAACACAAGAGATGTCTGTCTCCATGTGGGCACAGAAGAAAGGTCATGTAAAAACACAGTAAGAAGGCAGCCATCTACAAGGCAGGAAGGAGACCTCTCCAAAAACTAACCCTGATGGAACTTTGATCTTGGACTTAAACCTCTAGAACTATAAGAATATAAATTTCTCCTTTATGCCATCCAGTCCGTGGTATTTTATTATGGCAGCCTGAGTGAACTAATACATTATCCCTTTTCTGTTAGAAATGTCCTTTCTAAGCACTTATATGAAATGCAGAAGCCATAAAGCTTAATTATATTAAAAAAAACTAAACACTTCAGCCCAGTAAAAGCCACTAGAAGAGTTAAAGTACAAATAATACTTTCAATTTATAGGATAAAAAGCTATCAAATGAGGAATTTCTACAAACCAGTACATGAACATTTAAAAAATAATAATCAAAGAATTTGACAATTAAGAAAGAAAAAATGTAAATAAACAATAAACACATTAAAGATGTGCAAACTTACCAATAACCAAAAAAATACCAATTAAAATAATTTTTGTTGATTAGATGGAAAATGACTTCTAAAATCCTAATTCAGAACTAACAAAACTATTCAATAGCAACAAAATATAGATTGGAACAATTATGCAATGACCAAAAGTCTAGAATCAGTTTGAATCTATTTCTTTATAACTTTTTTAAAAAAGAATTAACCAACCTGGGCCACTTTCATTGAATTCTGGGTAGAACCACCAGCATGATATTCGACTTTGAATTTTTTTACAAGTTCATTAAACCTGTAAGGAAACCACAGTAGAAAAAGTAAGTTAGCATATGTCAGTTGTCACAATGCAAATTTCTGATTAGAAGCGCATTAAATTGCAATTAGTGGAATTTTTAATTATATAATTATGATGCATAAATGAATTAAAATATTGTATAAAAAACTTTGCTACTACCCATACTTAAGAAATTTATTATACAAATGTACAACTATAAGAATTTAAAATATAAAGGCTTTCCATTATTAATCATTAAACTAAAGTTAGAAATAAAAATTCATAATAAGCAATGCATATTTTCCTACATTGTTGCTCTCTAAAATCTTTATAAATGTATATTCTTATAAGTTTTCAAAGTTTTACATATTATGAGGACTAACGGTTTATAATTTAAAGAATCAGGAAACCACATTGGGTTGTATGATTACAGGCAAGTTGCTTGGTGACAATTTCTGTATCTGACAAATAAAGGCACAGAGAGAGATGATTTAAGCTTTGATATCTTATTATTTTGGAATCTGATAAAAGCTAACTTCTCTTCAGGAAAATATATACATAGTTAATATACATGTAACTTTTCATGTACACCCCTCCTATTACACACCCTCAGCCAGGGGACTTTGGACACTGATTGGAATAAGGGTCACATTAGATGGCATTTACTAATGTGGATCACAAGTCAGTACTCCTGACTACATGTCTCGAGGATGTGAGTAGAATATTCAAGGAAGATTTCAGACTTGAAAATATTTTCCAAACTTGTAGTAGATCCTGCTATTCAAGTGAAACATTTTACAGAACTTTAAAATATATGTATATAAAAAAAGATAAATTTAAAGATGGCTAGATTTGGGATAGAGAAAAGGGAGTTATAGCCAGTCGCATATTCAAATTGCCTTGGGATTCCATCTGTAAAACCTGAGATGCCAATGAACACAATTAGCAAACCTGCTCAGAACTTTGACAGCAATATTTATCTACCACTAATACTACTAATGTAATGACAGTAGAAAAGCAAAGTACATAGGACACAGATACATATACTAGTAGGTGGATGGTTTGGGTAATCACAGGAAGTTCTCTAATTACTTTATTAAACTTGGAGTGCGGGAAACGAGTTAAGTCGGCTCGCGTGAATTGCGCGTACTCCGCGGGAGCCGTCTTTAACTCGGTTCATATAGATTTGCGGTGGAGTGCGGGAAACGTGTAAACTCGGGCCGATTGTAACTGCGTATTACCAAATATTTGTTTGTAATCCACCCTTTTGGTGGATGGAACAAAACCAAAAGACAGAGCCATCTTATATTTTGGCGGGAAATTCACCCGCACTCCAAGTGTTAACTAGGTAACAGCTAAGAGTAACATTAGAGATTGGAGGAGAAAGGGGGAGAATGGACAAAGTAAACAGAGAGTGATCAATTGCCTTAGTGCAGAGATGAGGACCTGAAATCTTAATTGCATAGAGAAAATATTTGCACAATACAATGCAACAAAATTACAATATACATATGTATATTGCAAACAAAATTACCCAGTATACATGTGTACTAAAAAGAACCAGGAAGATTACAACCAAGGTGTTAACAGTGGTTAGCTCCAAATTAGAAGCAATTATGAATCTTATATAAATTTATTGAATGTGTAATAAGCATATAAACTATTTTGTAATAAAAACATTTTTAAGTATACTTCATTTTATAATGGAAGAACATGGCAACTTTCCATACAATTATTTAAAAAGAACTATATATATAGAACAAAGTCAAACTAAACGCATAAAGCAGAAAAGTAAGTGATTCTGAATGAAACAGGCAAGGAAAGTTTAACATCTGGAACTGGAATTTGACAGATAAGGAAGAAAAATTATTCAGGAGGGTAAATAAAAAAGACATGACATATTCAGAGAAACAGGTTAAACACAGACTAAAATGTAGGTCAAAATAAAAGTAGTAAAAACTGACAAAGAAAAGGTAGATTGTTCGCTCTGCCAGGCTAATAAATTTAGACATTATTCAGTAGACAACTAGGAATTATTAAAATCTGTTTACTACTAGTGTGAAAGGCAGCTGGTTTGTTTGTTTTTAAATGATGATAGCACTGTTTGGAGGACAGGATGGAATAAAGAAAGGAAGTATGTCAATTCACTATTGTAAACCTGAAATTAATATAACAAATATAAGATTGTATACCTACTATACTTATATAAAAAATTAAAAATAATAATAAAAAAGAGGTAGATCACCTGACTAGAATAGTTCATACCAAAGGTAAGATACTGAGCTAACAGCTGGAGAAAAGTGATCAAGCTAAGGAATCATTTCTGATGTTGAAGACATAGCATGTGATAAATAACTGCAAATGGAAGATATGTCAGAGGAATGGCAATTCTGAGATTTGTACTTTGGATAACTAGTTGGATGGTATTTGAAAAGGAGATACAAGAAAGAAGAAAAATCATATGCAGCAAAGAAAAATCCTAAATGGTTGACTGACAAACCAAAAACATTTCCAGCCCTAGCTGGCTTGGCTCAGTGGATAGAGCATTGGCCTGCGGACTAAAGGGTCCTGGGTTCGATTCCAGTCAAGGACACATGCCCGGATTGCAGGCTCGATCCCTATGCAGGAGGCAGCCAATCCATGATTCTCTGTCATCATTGATGTTTCTATCGCTCACTCTTCCTTCCTCTCAAAAATTAAAAAAATTATTTTAAAAAAACACACACAAAAAAATATTTCCACTTAGGGAATTTTTTGCAATGAGGCAAGATTTGTTCCCTTTAATCTTCTACAATTTGATCATGTGCTTATTTCAATTTATAGTGAAAGCATTTTTATTAAGGGTAACTTTTAAATAAAAATGAGTATCACTGGGGTTTAATTCAGAATTTCTTATGGACTAATCTTATGGAAAAAAGCAAAAAACAATATACTGTATATTTCTAAAGAAGTTTTAGTATTTATTCTGATAGTGTATAGGGGAATTTAAATTCTAAGTAATGCTTTCCACTCTCATATCACATATTACTAAATACCTAATAAACAATTTAGAATTCCTGACAATTAATATGATGGCTATCTATCTATCTGTATCTATATTTATGCTTTGCTTTTGATAAGAAAAGTAAAATACAGGGAAGTGGAGAAGGTTTCAAACACTAATGTGGTAGGCAAAACTGTGACTAAATACTAGTCTTTAATCCTAGTTTAATATTAAATTTCTGGAGACACAGTAACCTCCTTAGAGTGGTACTGTGCACAAGAAAAGGTATCAGGTCAAATGATCAAATATAGAAATTTTTAATTGAATTTATTGGAGTGACATTGGTTAATAAAATTATACAGGTTTCAGGTATACAATTCTACAATACATAATCTGTATACTGTATTGTGTTTACAACCCCAAATCAAGTCTCCCTCCATCACCATTTATCCCCCCTTATAAATGAAACCATTTTTATTAAGGATAACTTTTAAATAAAAATAAGTGTCACTGGAGTTTAATTCAGAATTTCTTGCTATTCAATTTCCTTGAATTGCTTCAAAAAGGAATAAAATGCCTAATTATACATTTAACCAAGGACGTAAAAGACCTGCACTCAAAAAATTATAAGACACTGAAGAAAATATCGAAGAAGACACAATAAAGTAGAAGCATATGCCAAGTTCATGGGTAGAAAAATTGAAATCATTAAAATGTTCATGCTATCCAAAATAACCTATAGATTCAATGCAATCTCTATCAAGATACCAATGGCATATTTCACACAATTATTTAGAGTAAATATTTTAAAAATTTATATGGAACCACAAAAGATCACGAATAGCAACATCAATCTTGAGAAATAAGAACAAAGTTGGAGAAATTATGCTACCTGATATCAAACTATACAAGGCCATAGTAATCAAAACAGCATGGTACGGGCATAAAAACAGACATAGAAGAGGGGATAAATAGTGGTGGAAGGAGACTTTACTGGAGGTGTTAAACACACAATACAATATACAGATGATAATTTTATTAACCAGTCACCCCAAGAAATAGAATAAATTTAAAAATATATATATAATCAATGGAACAGAATAGAGAGCCCAGAAATAAACTCATGCCTTTATGTCAATATTTGACAATGGAGGCAAAAACACACAAGGGGGTAAAGACAGTCTATTCAATAAATGGTGCTGGGAAAATTGGACAGATAACATGCAAAAAAATGAAACTAGACCACCTTCTTACTACACAAAAACTCAAAATAGATTAAAGACTTAAATGTTAGACTCGAATCCATAAAAACCCTAAAGAGAACACAGGCAGTAAAATCTCAGACATTTCTCATAGCAAAAGTTTTACTGGTTGATGAGAGAGAGAGAGAGAGAGAGAGAGAGAGAGAGAGAGAGAGAGAGACAGACAGACATGGATTTGTTGCGCCACTTATTTATGCATTCATTGGTTGCTTCTTGTATGTGCCCTGATTGGAGATCAAACCCAAAACCTTGGCATATCAGAACAATACTCTATCCAACTGAGCTACCTGACCAGGGTTATTTTTTCTGTTATATAGTTTCAGGCAAAATTAAAAAATTAAATAAATAAAAATAAACAAATGGACTACATTAAACTAAAAACTTTTGCACAGGAAAGGAAACCATAAACAAAATCAAAGGACAACCCACTGAATGGGAGCCCACTGAATGGGAGAATAAATTCACCGATATATCTGATAAGGGCTTAATATCCAGAATTTATAAAGAAGTAATATAACTCAACATCAAAAATAAAACCAAACAAAAAACAACTAATCCAATCAAAAGTGTGCAATGGATAGACACTTCTCCAAAGAGGACATACAGATGGCCAATAGACATATGAAAAAAATGCTCAGTGTCACTAATGATCAGAGATATTCAAATTAAAACCACAATGAGATATCACCTCACATCTATCAGAATAGCTATCATCATTAAATCAACAAACAACAAGTATTGACAAGGACGGGGAGAAAAAGGAACTCTTGTGT